CTCTCTCCATCTCTCTCTCCCCCTCTCCCTTTCTCTCTCTCTCCATCTCTCTCTCTGTCTCTCTCTCTCTCTCTCTCTGTCTCTCTGATGTTCCCAGTTCTCTCTGACCTCCTTAACCTCCCTCTTCCCCTCCCCCTCCACACTTCTAAACCCTGCTCCACAAGAAAATGTCTGGCACCGTCAGAGTTCATCATGGAAGGTGGTTGGGTGCACAGGAAGTAAAACAGGAAGCAGGCTGCAAAGCTGCCCTAGGCTTATCCATGTTACACAGCTATAAAGCAAGTGTAAATGTTGAGTATGAACAAATACACTAAGCCGCTTAAGATTCAAGCTAGCAGTGTTCTGTGTCTGCTGGATGACGTTTTTGTTTCCAGTGGCTCTGACTTTACAGCTGCCAATAGCCTGAGAGTCATGAGACTCACCTGTCCGCCTGGGTTTGAAGTCACCATACGGAGCAGGCGTGGTGCCTCCTCCAGGGAACCTTAACTTCTGGTAGGCACAGTCCTGCCCCAGGCCACCGTCCACTGGGCAGCCCTGAGCCTGTGAGAGCCAGTGCTGCCCCCACCCAGGGCACACCGACCTGGGCCACCTGTTTGCTGAGAGGCAAACACAGAGTCCAGGGCTCACCACACCCGGCGGAGGGGAACCACCCAGCGCACTCCTGCTCAAAGAGCCTGCCTGAAAAGTCCTCTCTGCCACCCGAGTGCACAGGTGGCTTTGTATTTGAATTCCTGGCACTCTTGGACAAAGTGACCTAGGAGGGACCAGACAAGGAGACTCTGAGCAGGCTGGGAAAAGGGCCTCAACAGCAAGCAATACCCTGGTGTGCAGAAAGAGGCAGTGAATGCAAGGAACAGAGCCCCCTGCCGGGAGAGCGCTGGCACCTCAGGCTCAACCTGGCCTTCCCGAGCCCCAGCAAAGGGCTCACAAGAAGGAGCAGCAGGCCAGGCACTTCGCCCTCCTTTCCCTGTGTGCAGACGAGGCCACCAGGCTACAGATTGACCGGTGGTGCTGTGAGGACTGGACACAAGGGAGGTGCTAGGACCTGCAGGTCCCGGCCTTCGGCCTTCAGTGTGGAGGGAGGGGCAGTGCTGCCTAGTGGGGTTCTGTGTGCTTGCTCTAAAAGCCCTTTGCCCAGCAGGACGAGCCACACTGGTATAAGGGATTTCCTGTTAATATTTAAATGCATTTCCATGTAAGACATCAGAAGACAAAGGTATGCATATTTGAAACTAAGCCAGGTAAATGAGCTGACACACACTGAACTTTGGATTACAAAATGCCACATGCCAGGGTGACTCATCAGTGTTTGGAGTTGTTCTTGGGCCACCTTGAATCACTCCAGGGTTTCTGATTGGTTGGTTTGAAATCAGGCGTAGAATAAGAGAAAGAAGAAAGAACAGGACAAGGCGGAGGAGGAGGAAGGAAGGAAGAAAATAAATGTGTGACCCAAGAAGCAGCTGACGGTCACAAGCCTCACAGCATAATGGCGTCACGGGAGTCACCTGAGAGTGCACAGCACGCACTCTCTGGGTTTTGTCCCTCAGTGTGCAAGTGACTCACGTGCTGTGAGCTTTCTCTTAGTTTCTTAGGGAGGAATGAGGTCACTGAACGTAAAGCACCAGGTGTATTCAGCACGGAGTTAGGGCCCTTCGGGTCGGCCAGCTATGTGTATTTTGGTGAAAGGTGTTTGCGGAGCCCAAGCTGCCCCTTATTCCTTTCATCCATGGGCGTGGGCTTCAGAGGGAGGCACACCTGTCTCCTACGGCCATCCATACTCAGATGCAGTTCTGCGGGAGTTCCTTCCTTCTGAGATTTGAGACAGGGGAGGTTTCCAGCTGTCACTAAGCCTTAGTGGGATCCAGAACCTGCAGCTGACTGTGTTGGTAAAAGGTCACCACCAGGCCCAGGCACAGCTGGAGAAGCTTCAAGCCAGCCTCAAGGGCACCATGGATGCCTGTCCTCTCCTGCCCTCCGTGATAGGACTTGGGAAGCTGATGCAGCGCAGCTGGGGGGATGTAACTGCCTGTTTCCACAGGAATCCTGGGCTGAACCCCTGCGCGCAGCCTGTGAGCCCTGCTGAGGCCTCCTGTAGCTGTCAGTGTCCACAGAGCTGAGCCCCTTTTCTGCTCACTGTCCTCTCCCGCTGTCCCTCTCAGGGCCACCACACAGCCTCAGGTACAGCGAGGTCCGGAAGAGCTCCCTGGTTCTGCAGTGGAAGCCTCCAGTCCATTGTGGGCGGACTCCGGTCACCGGCTACTTTGTGGACCTGAAGGAGGCCAGTGCCAAAGATGACCGGTGGCGAGGACTCAATGAGGCTGCCATTAAACACACGTACCTGAAGGTAGGGGCGCTTGGAAAACGTGCTCTGTGGGTAGTGGCTTTGAAGTTGGCCACATAGCTTGGGCATGGTGACTGCACACCTGCAATCCCCGTGCTCCCAAGGCTGAGCAGGAGGATAGTTGTAAGTTCAAGGCCAGCCTGGGCCACACAGCAAGATCCTACCTCAAAGCAAACAGTTGACAACATAGAAAGGGCACCTGTGCTTTGGCCTCTTCCACACGCTGGGCTCCTGTTGCACCCCAGGCAGTGGTGGCTGTGGCCTGCATCTCACCTGCGCTGCAGCCCCAGGGGGACATCAAACCTGAACCCCTGGGCCCAGCTGTAGACCAGCTCCTCCTCTCCCCCGACACCCCACCTTCACCTGCTCTCTCTCCCTCTCCTCCTCACTCCAGCTTCCCGTCTCTGTTAGCCAAGGCTCAGAGTGCTCCTGCATCTTCCCATCCCAGTGCAGCCTCTTCCTCAGACCTCAAGCGCTTTGGGGAGCCACCTGAGCCAGCACCCCCATGCTGCAGGCCACAGACTGCAGGCTGGAGCCCTGGCCCTGAACGGTGCCACCTGGAAATCTCTGCTGTTGGCGGAGAACCTGAAGAGTCCCTGGCAGGACCTCGGGAACTCGGAAGGTGACCTCATCAAGGGTCACTCTACAGCCATTCAGAAAACTGCATGCTGCCATCCCCCTAGCGCAGTGTGACCATAGTTCCTTTCTACTGGTCATCACAACCTGGTGGCCGAGGTGGCAGGAAAGGAGTAGTGGGAAGACAAGTGGGACACCGAGGGAGAGGCCAGGGAACGCTGAAATTACAGACCGGGGAAATCCTGTGGTGCCGCCGAGGTCTTGGTCCCTGTCCCTGCTGAGGGGTCATGGAGCTGGTCCCTGCCACAGTGACACAGCGAAAGATGTGGTATCCCTCGTTCTCCTGAGTGTTGCAGAAACCTGCCCCGGGCCCCTCTTCACCTACAGGCAGGTGCAGGTGTGTCAGGCACCCGGCCATCTGGCTGTGTATCTCTATCCGAGGAAGGAAGTGTGTCCCCTCCCTTCTGCGAGCCCGCAGCTTCTGACATTACTTCCTGATGTGGAACTCTTCAGTGCACCAAATTCCGTGCCTATTCCCGAGCCTAAGTCCCAGTCCACTTAGAGACGGAAGTTCATCCCCAAAGCCCTCAGCTCCAGTGAAAGCCGCCACTACATAGTGGCTTTCTGTCCTCACCAACACCGTGGCAACACACATAAATGGATTAAAAACCCGACAGTTTAATGCACAACTTGTTTAAATGCAGTCACAAATGCTTCACTTAGCTTAACAAATGTTTAATTTAAATCCAACTTTGGGATTGATTTTCATCATGGAATTAGAGAAAAATTTTACTTTCTGTATGTAACAAATTCCTTTTAAAAATATCTATTAAAAGTCACATGTTGTAAGGGCCAGCCAGATAGCTCAGTGGATTAAAGCACCTGCTTATGCAGACACAGGGGCCAGGGGTTTGATCCCCCAGTGTGCTGTGTGGGCCCCGCGCCGAAGATGCCTGAGACGGCGATTAAGACTGGGCATTGTGGCACAAGCCTATAATCCCAGTGCTTGGGAGGCTGAAAGCAGGAGAATCACTGAGTCCGATCTGTGTAGTGAGACCCTGCAGATCCTATATAAAACACATAAAGTCACATGTTTTAAAAATTAAAAAACTGTTTTGATAAAATATTAAGGTCATTCATACTTGGAATAATAGTAATGGGACAGTGAGGAACCCAAAGAAAGTCAAAATGCTATCAAGTAGGACTGACATACACTAAATAGATTATCAATGTGGCGCTGAACCCCAAGAAAGCCACAAACAAGTAAGAAATATGTTCTCAGCAAAAATATTTTTAATTCTTAAAACCTTGAAGGTTTTAGAATTTTAAGACTTTGCTTATTCACAAATTACTTATATTCACAATGATGTTAACTGTTGTCTAATGAGAAATATTAACATTAAATTTGCAGGGAGAATTTATTTTTTATTCTAGTGCTAGAATATGCATTTCAACGGATATCAAGTGTCTGTGATCTAGCCTTCAATTCTCTCTTGCTAAGAATTACATGTGAAAGTGTTCTTGGACTGTCCAAAAGGGCTTGGGCAGTAGGAGGCCACCTAAGTGGTATTGTGATGCTTCTCATTTTGACCAAAGGACAAGTGGTCCAGTCCTCTGATGCCCGTGTGTGCAGTCTCTGCTTCTCTGATGGAGGCCGTCAGATGACCTGAAGGAAGAGGGGCCAAGGAGGTAGCTCAGTGGTGCAGTGCCCAGATGGCAAGCACCAGGTCCTAAGTTCAAGTTTCAGTACCAGAAGAAGAGAAAAAAGTAGGACCTCTGAGTTGGAGATGACCTTAGGAAGGTCTCTCCTCCCGAAGCAGAGGGAAGCAGGCTGAAGCCCACTCAGAGTCCGCTGTAGACCACAAGTCCTTTCTCCTAGTGCTGCACACTCCACTGTTATGACACAGGAGGAACGCATGTGCATAAGTGACCTAAGACACCCCCTGCTTCTTCACCTGCTTCTTCCAGGTGCAAGGCCTCCAGGAGGGCGTCAGCTATGTGTTCCGGGTCCGAGCCATCAACCAGGCGGGTGTTGGGAAGCCGTCTGACCTCGCTGGCCCTGTTGTGGCAGAAACCCGTCCAGGTGGGCACTTACTTCTTCGAGATTCATCTGAGGTTGGGACATAGCTCAGTGGTACAGCACTTGCCTGGTATGCATGAGGCCCGGGTTCTGTCCTTAGTGCCACGGTACACACGCACACACATGCACTCGGGACGCGTCTCCTCCGTGGAAGAGGCTGAACACACAGTTACCCCAACTCTCTGTGCTGTTCCTGATTGTCAGAATCATCAGTGTGTGCCAACAGAGACACTGACAAGCACGACCTTATCAGATGGTAAGCGGCTACCCCTGTACTGACCCTTCGGAGCAGGGGTGCACCGGTGTGAGATGCTCTGGGCTAATTTTGCTCCTACTTAAAAACGGGAAAACTCTGGATCAAATGATGCTTCCTAAACCATCACTGCCAACCACACCTCCCTGGGAAGTTGTTCCCACTCTGTGCTGGCCGCTCAGCCCATAGGATCTTCTGATCATAGAGAGGCTAGCGTAACCCAATTCTCAGCACTAGTAACTATTAAGTGAACCAAGGAGTAGCAACTCTCTGTGAAGGGCAGATAGCAAATGCTCCTGGTGGTAAAGCCACGCGGTCCAGTGCACAACTATTCAGCTGAGCCGGTGTGTGGAAGCAGCCACAGAAAGTGTGTGAACCAACAGGCATGACTGTGTTCCAGTAGACCACTACTGTGTCCTTCCCCTGTGTCAAGTACAAGACTTGATTTCTACCTCTTTCCCAAGTCTTGAAATAGTCATCTTCTTTTGATTTTTTTCAACTGTTTAGAACTATAAAAACCATCCTTGTGCTCGCTTCGGCAGCACATATACTAAAAACCATCCTTAGTCTGTGAGCCAGACCAAAAGAGGCAGCAGAACAGACTCTGCCCACGGGCTGTGGCTCGCTGACCCCGGGTTAAGCTAACAGCAGTGCCGCCTGAATGGACCACAGAGCTGAGGCGTGGGGAGGTGCCAGGCTGGAGCGGAGAACACAGTGTGCCCTTCTTTAGGGTAACAAAGCTCAGAGTGTGCCTTGCCCAGGGACTTTCAGATCATTACATAATGACAACTCTTTTATCATTCACTCTATATCATTTTAAAGTTATATATTTCAGTTCATTAAAATTACATGAAAGAAAGCATTGGAAACAAGACAGGATAAAAAATATTAATCAGTTATTCCTCAGTTTATTTTCATTCTGGTCAAAGGGCTTTAGCTTTAATCCATTCCTACCATCAGAACTGAAGTAAACAGAACGCAGATCCATAGTGTAATTATTGTTCAGATGAGATAAGAACACGAGCATCAGGAAACACTACTTTTGTTACCTTTCACTTGAAAAAAATCTAAGCAGTCCCCCCCCAAAAAAAAAAATCTAAGCAACAGTCTTCCCCTTGGGGAACTCTCTGCCTTTTTCCTATTTTTTTTATAACTGTCTTCAGCTTTTCTTCACCTAGTTTTAGACATGGGTGTGACAAAAGTGACCTTTACAAAAGGGTGGCTGGCAGCTCCAGGCAGTGCCACACTTTATATTTGTACCCTTTGGAAGATCCCAGGAGAAATCAGAAAAGTGCCAAGCACACCAGATAAAAGGGAACACACAGCAACACCAGGACATATGTGCCTAAGAAGACCGCGCACATCAGGCCCTCGGTGTGTGGATCGCCACTGTGTGATACCCGCTTACGTAATGTCCACTGCCTGGATATGAAAGCCCTGTGCAGGGACCCGGGCTCAGTGTCCACCCTCATAAAAACAACACTCAGATTTCTGCATGAGTCACAGGCAAATCAGAGCACCCCGTGGGCTGCCAGTATCTACCGTGTTCCCTCAAGACAGCTCCGATCAGCTTCTTGCCTTCTCATCAGTAGCCCTAGAGTGACAGATGGCCCAGCACAATGTGAACAGAGCCATCACTAGGGAAACTGCCACCAGAAGAGGCCCTACTCGCCCCACCCGGGTGAGAACTTCACCGATTTGGACCTTCGGCTCCAAAGGTCATTTCTGTAGCTGTCCACTTCCTGGACTGTAACTCCAAGCAACAGCTGCAGACACACTGAGCTCCGTACTAACCCACTCAGGAAGCGCTGGCTCACGGCTGAGCAAAAGTCCAGGGACAGACAAACGCAAAATGCTCCCCACGTAGGAGTCCAGTGACATGCAAGCCCATTGTTTGGGCACCGAGCACCTTCACTGTCGCGACACGCATTTCTAGAGCGCTTACTGCCTGCCAGGCGCTGTGTGGGTCTGGGAGGAAAGTGACATCAGTCCACTCGTTGGGTTTGCCATCCCATGGAAACACCATGCTTACAGCATGTGACAAATTTATAAAATATTTCCATAGTCAAAGAGGCCATAAGCTAGGAAACAAGGGCCCTGCTGAGGTTTTGAGAAACTCTGTGCTTCATCCTATTTTTTTTTTAATTGCTTTCTGCTTCTTTATAACTGGTGTGTAGACTCAAGTCTGATAAAAAAGTAACCTTACAAAAGTATGGCAGGTATCTAGAGACAGTGCCATATTCCACATTCCATAAACACTTACAGTAGCCTGAAGTCGTCTATTCATTTGTTTCATTAAATAGTAGTCTATTTCTCCATGCATTTGTTTTGGGTTAGGTCAAGGGCAGGAGAAGACACATTATCAATTTTCAAGATTTGGGATGTGAAACCTGGATTACTATTTCAGAAAAACAACTTCTTTGGGGATATACTACTAAAATTTCAGGTAGAAAATAAGGTTTATCATGTAACAGCAAACCACACATCTAACAAGATCTCTTGTGCGTAACCGAATCACAGTGAAACGTTAACCTAATCCGTGGGTTTGGTAGGGTCACTGGCTCCCTTTGAAGTCAAAAAATAGGCAAGCAGCTGTATGCAGCCCAGCCCGACTACACAGACTAATTGTGCTGGTAATGAGGTTCCCTATAGTAACGGACCTGCTGCGCTGTCCCACGAAATCCTGTAGCTAAAGCAGCCTGTAAGTGGAGTAGGCTAGGGTAGATTTGTTGGCACCCAAAAAAGCTATTCTCTTCCTGGTATTTGATATCTTAAAAACAACAGCACCTGTGGTTGTTTGCCTCTGGCCAGGTGGAGCAGGAGGCCAGGTGAGTGAGATCAGAGGAGACAGAGGAGCTGGGGAGACAGCAGCTGGTGGTGTAGGTCACAAGCATTCTTGCCAGAGAGCAGGGCAGCAGCAGGGTCCCAGGAAGGAATCAGGTTACAGGAAACTAGGATTGGGTCATCCAAAACAAGCAGCTGAGGAGGAGGAGGAGGCTTTACCTAAAGGAAGCAGGAGTTGGGGCTGAGCTGACAACTGAGTCACCAAAGGCACATTACAATCCCAGTGTTTATAACCGGTAAAGCTGGAAAGCACACGTGTGCCCGGGACCTCGTACAGGATTCTGAAGCCAGAAGCCTGGCCCCAGAAATCTTACTAAGTGATCTCCCTCACCCACAAGAACAGTAGCTCTCCACCATGACGGTACTTCAGAAGCAAGTCGGAATGTTGGTAACACTGATGCCCGGAATCCACTTCAGGCCAGCGACGTCATGATGCCTGTGGCTAGGCCCTGACTGGCTTTCTGTGCTTGAGGAGCTGCTTGGGTAGTTCGGCTCTGAAAGCAGGCTTGGGAAGTGCGTGTCGCGCTCTGGGCTCCTTCCCTCCAGGGCCGTGCCTCTGTGAACAGTGCTGAGTGCTAGGCTGGTACCCGGTGTAGTGTGCTGGAGGGAACCCACGGGGTGAGAACATAATGAATGACCAGCGCGTTTCGGCCGTGGATTGTGGCTCTGTTTGGTGGCCTTGCTGCGTGGCTTTAATCCTTAACAGTTTGTGAAACATGCCCTGGTCAGGAAGGACAAGTTGGGAAAGAGGTATCCAGCGGAGGCTATGATCTGGCCCCTGGTGCTGGGCCACCCAGCAATCCTCGCCTTCAGCACAGAATTGCTCAGGGTCAGTGTGACGGATCAAGGCCACTCCCATCTTCTTCATCCTGTCCTACTCTGGTTTTTTAAAAATGTACACACATATCTCAGATAAGGACAAATAACTAAAGCTTATAGATGTTATATATTAGAGCTGATGTAGAATTTTCATCAGATTATAAAATATATAAGAAAGTAAACAGTATAGTGAGATTTTATTTCAGATTTAAATTTCTTATTTATTTATTTAGAAGAGAAAAGCAGGGTGGAGCTCATTGTTTTGAGACTGCCCACTGTAGCCTGGGGTTGCACCTTACCTCATCCCATGCTGGGGATTCCTGCTGGGAAGGCTCTTAAAGCCATCTGTGTGTGTCCACCTTCAGGATTCGTCCAAGGCAGGCTCACAATAAGCTCTTTTTCTCCACCCAAGTCTCCTGAATTCTCTACGCTCTTGAGCAAGATCAAAGGGCATTTCTGAGAGAAATCTTAAGTCAGGAAAATTTTGGTTGCCTTTTCTGACCCAATTTGGGGGAGAAGAGTGTCTTTCATCCAGAGAATATCCCCAGGGATTCCTTTCTGGTGATGGCCTTAGACCTGCTGCTTCCCATTAAAGGACTGAACATTTTAATCATTTATCGAGTTTAATATCTTTAGGTATTTATCAGAGTTCAACCATGAATTAATTGACAGCATCTCAGCTCCTGGCAAGGGCTCTGTTAAATCCTGGGACTAGCTGGGTGTGGTTGTGGGGACTGTAACCTAGCCCCCTGGAGCCCGAGGCAGGAGCATCGCTGAATTGGAGGCCATCCTGGGCAACGTAGTGATCACCCCTCGGCCTTTTGGTTAAGATCAAGTGTGGACTACATACAGAGTTCAAGGGCAACTTGAACTACATAGTGAGATCTTATCTCAAACCAAACCAAACCCTGGGTCATCTTAACAGGAAAATTTGAGACTGTTCTAGATATACTTTCTCTCAGGGTTTTTCTTCATGCCAAGTTAATCTGCAGAAAATACTGTCTGCTGGTTTATCCTGGGGCATATTGGAAATTCTGTCTTTGCTTTTTAGGTTAATCTTGGTTTTTCTAGAGTCCTTTTATATAAA